CCGTACATGTAGGACTAGATGCATGTAAATACATGTCAGTAGGCCTACATTGCTAGCACCCCAAATTGTGAATCTACAAAAATAAAGTGTGAGAACTTAAGAGAAACGACTGGGTCATTCACACAACATGAAAACTGCCTTGAGAGCTCTAAATGAAAGCCCTTGCAGGTGACCAATATTCCATTCTGGCATCAAGACAACATCTGCACGACAGTGTGGCATTTACATTATCACAAAGGAAACGTCTAAACACCTCAGATAGATTTCAGATCACTGTTTGTCTTGTTAAAATACGGTAGTGGACCTTGCCAGCAGAACTGGCATTTTAGTGAAAGTCCATAGTAAAGGTCTTATTCTCGTAGATACTGTTACTCTTGCCACAGTTTCTCAAACTTCATTGGTGATTGAAAAGAAGCTCTCAAGAAGACTTGAAAGTTTGCCGTTTTTCCCTCTTTGATTCATAATGTATATACTGTATCATAAATACTTGATTGTCTTTCTTTATGGTCTTGTTTGAACTGTGAAAGGAATCCTTTCTGGTCGGGTAGATTTTTCAGGCATCACCCTTGAAACTCAGCTCAATTTTCAGAAATTCAAGCCCTGGACTGGTGCATTTTTATTACCACCAGGGACTGCAGGTATGGCCTCGTTAAATGACAAGATGTTATAAGGCTGTGTGATATCAAGAATTGAAAAAGTTTGTCATATTTATCATGGCTTTTTATGGTAACTCGGCCACTTCATCACATCTGCTTCATGAATGGCATGCCAACTGTTTCCAATGTTTGTCCAGGATGTGTTTGATGAGTACGACGAGTTGCTCAGAGATGGCCTGGATGATAACAATCCAATCAGATACAAAGTAATTGAGATTTAATTATCCCATGAGGTGTTTGGGCATGTCTGGCGGGTTGAATAGATGGAGGCCACACAAATAAAGGTCAAACTACTTGCTGTCTTCAAATAGACATTACATGGTATGGAAAAATACAACAACAAATGTTCCAAGTTATGACTACTGTAAATGAACCGATTCAAAAATACTGATTCAAAAATTCCTAAAGCTCGATGTCTCATTTACCTTTCTAGTAAACATTTTGTAAAAGCTCACTACCTCAGTATTAAATATAATGCAGTTAAGCACTTGAACAATTAAACTCACATTTAGGGACTTCCTATATTTAGGAATGCTAAAACACAAATCTCCTATATTTAATGTGCATTTTAAGTTACTGATTTTAAACAGACTTCTATCTAAATAAAATTGATATGCCTGAATTTTTAATTTGCAGGTTTTGAACATTAGAATTAGTAAAACTCTGGAAGTTTAACCTTTATCAGATCAATAAAGAAACCATGGACCTATCACATTAGGTCCAAGTCAAATTCCATATCTTACTGCTTTGTGATGTGAGAATAATTTCTAAATGTCACTGGGCTTTCGTATAAGCTCCAGTAGGACAGAGAAAGTCATCACTGGCGTCATGGCAAGAAGCATCTCACTATCTCGTGAAAGAATTTGTTGAAACTTGAGCCCCATGAGCTGTAAGGGAGACCATGAGTCTGAGGTAGGCTGAGACATAGAGTGCATTGCTACTACGGCACAAATACAGTGCAGTTGTGTACTTGAGTCTGATGAATCTGGAGCTACAGGCGCAAATTTTACCCAGTTGCTGATAACTTAGCAGGGACATCCAGGGACAGACAAATTAACTCAATGTTATTATAATGGTGATGTGCCACACACCTATTCAGAGAAAAAGGTTAAAGTCAACATCTTCAGCAATTGTGCCTGTGAGGATATACAGCCCAACCTTCTCTGTGCTTATCTACACATTGGTTGAAGTGTACCGGGGCTGTAATGAAGTTTTCCTTGAAACATTTTCCTGCATCTTTGTACTGTACTTTTCTTCAATGTACGAGAACTCTTCCACACTCTTATTTGGTTAAAAGCGTTGAAAAGTGCACATTTTAAAATAAAAATTATCCATGTTTTCCTGGACAACTGAGGGTGCTGTTGCTGTGAAGTCATCTAGGGAAGAGTAGGGCCCTTTTCCAATACTCGACTTGGGCTCCTTCTCAGGCTTCGTTCCCAAAACCAATCCCTGATTGTGGGCCTGAAGCGTTTAAATTAAACTGGATTACTGTAATTTCTGAATCTCTTGCATCTTATTTGATGTTCTGTGGCAGTATTAGACTAGTTACTGTGCTTACAGCTTCAAAATCACCTAGTTAAAAAACAGTTGAAGCCTGAGACGGAGCTGAAGTTGAGTATTGGAAAATGGCCATGGTTCTGTGCATAGGTATTTCTGTTCAAATTGTGAACCCAGAATGTACTAACTGAAAACTTTTTTTGAGAGAGGGATTGATGGTTTCTCATTGCTATGCACATTAACAACAATGAATCAGCAAAGATGAGAACACTTTGTCTACGGAAATCTACAAAAATGCAGGACTTTTTTGTGTGAACCAATGTAATATTGAGGTTTCTTCCTGAGATGACATCAGTTTTACTCATGAATATGGAAATACTCATTAGCATAAAAACCAAAAAGGCATTAAAATACCCTTTGAAATGTGAAACCAAAGTTAAAAATAAGGTTTACTGAGGCACAAAGGTGCATTTTACAGGTTTGTAATCAAAAGCATTGATTACAGCTATCCTTAAAAGACACTCTAGCTGTTAATTACCAGAAAATGGAGTAGGTACAGCATGTAGTTCTGATTTTCTGAGTTTCATTTTGAAAAGTAAATCTGAATTACTGGGGTATGGTCCTTTTAAAATTACACCTGAAGTACTGGTGTAAGTCAGCCTATCTGCATACATGTACATGTAATCATGTTTTCCTTGTTTCACATTTGACTAGAAACAGAAGGTTTTAACAGTTATGGTTAAGGTCACTTACACATGGTACCATTTGATTTGCTTGTGTGCTGGTACCAAACACTGTGTGTTGGAAAATAAAAATGTAGCCAGCTGACATTGTACAGTAAGCATCTACTGGCTCAGCATTCCAACAAAATCAATTATCTTCCAAACAACAAGGCACAACTCAATTAACAATTTGACAAGCTACCGGTACTTAAAAAGAACTCAAAATCTCAAGCAGTTTTGAACAGACATGTATGCAAATTCTATGCAAGAAACAAAATGAAACAAAAACTAACTCATGAATACGTACATGTACATGTATAATAACACGTACACAGAAAAAAATACATGTACATCTGTATATATATGTACATGTCATGTATGTACATGTACATGTACATGACTCTCATTTTCCTTAATTCTGCCTGGTTTTGCTCCAGGAAAGATTAAATTGCTGAAAGTGATTACTCTTTCCCTTTTTAATGAATAATTTTACTGGCTTAGCCTTCCAATCTGAGTGTTCGATTTCTCCCCTCTGGCTATTACCACGGAAACTCATCTTTTGATTAAAGGCTAACTTCATTTACTTTTACAAAATACAGATGTTGGGTATCTGTAACCTGTATGGTGTACCGATACAAAAAAAGATGTCTGTTTAATCTGACTACCAGGGCCAGGCAATTTGAGTTTCAAAACTTTTTCATACATTCACTAAATGCAATGCTGAGCAACTACCCACAGACATATATGTATATCTCATCACACAGTGCATGGCTGTGCACTGGTGCATCTATGGAAACATCCTACATGATGCACAATGTACACACATACATGTAAATTGTACAAAGACATAAAACTTCCAACCACTGTCAGACAAAAAAAGGGCACATCGTCTGTGTATGGTGTAAGCAGCACTTCACATGTAAATCTATGAACTGTAAAGCAATGTTACAGTCTTGAAGCAAAAGTGGGACAGACTGTTAATCCATTCACCTATGATCTGATAGGAATATTTTCAGTTTTATTCTCACAGGTACACTGTAAATACAGTATAAAACACAATAGAATTAAGAGTGTCAACGTCAAATTCTGCAACTTCCTCATCGTGGATATGTACAATGTAAAGATAAATCAATGTCACTGGACAATCATTTATAAGGCCCCCAGCCATGGCAGCAGCATGGCACCCATCATCTGTTATCCAGAATAATCCCTGAAGCATTAATGTTGTACCGTACATGTACATATTACTAATACATGTAGCTGGCTCTAGAAATAGGATAATTCACAGCACCACTAAACCATCACTAGAGGGCTTAAATCAATTAAATCATTTATTTACCTGCCACTTTGTGGGAAAAAGTCAACACCATGCTACTCCATTACATTGTGATTTTATAATTGCCTATACTTGCACAATCAAAATCTTGCACCTTCTTGTTTTGACAAAGGATGGCGACCTGTCATTCATTCAAAAATTTGTCCATCAAATTTGTCAACTCACATCAATTACTGATGAGTGTCTGCCAAAATGTAAAGAGTTGGCCTACAGTAAGGGTTGCATAGTTCCCTGTGTCAACATGCAAGTCAAGGTAGGAAAAATACATGTAATTGTTGGGGAACCGTGGAGGCACACCATATTGTGAATGACCCCTATAACGGTCATTGACAGATTTCTGCCTGGGTTTCTATTATCAAACCATATTCAAAAGGTAAATTCAGCCATCAAAACTACAAAACTTCAGACAAATGTGGCACGAAATCTTTGATGGCATTCAACGTGTACAAAAGTTGATGTTAGTTTACTATAAGCATTTTAAATGCTGAATAAATCTAGTGATTGCATAGAATTGTAATGAAAACTGTATCTACAGAGCACATGCCAACTATTATTCATGTTTCACCATTTACTTGCCTCGTGCTAATTAAGCTTTCAAAACTCAACTTGACTCTAACACATGTATACGTGTGTACCACAAGGCCGGTACACTATAGGCACTATATACATGTACTTACCCACAGCAAACAGCAGGAATGGCCAATGACAGTGTCTTCACAGCTTCTTTTATAAAGTGTGAGTTCTAGCACTAGATGAGTAAAACATCAAACCCTTCTGTCATACCTTCAGGATGAAGTATCCAATTCAGAGAAAAGCACACGGATGATCTGGACAACCCATCAGGTGCATGATCACTGAATTGCCAAGGTAAGTAAGAAATGAGCAACACATTCTGAACGGAGATGATTCGGACTCCAGATTGAATGCTGCACGGCATCGGATGTCATCTGGCGTTTTCAACGACCACCCCACCTCTTTGCAAGGACAAGCAGGTTAATGACACCCAAGGTGATCACAGTGGGGATGCTAGTCTCTGGCAGGATCTTACTGGCTAACAGATTCTTTGACCTGGACAGTGCATGTATGCACCCATCACCATGAAGTGTCAAGACTGTCAAACCAAACAGAGCAAATTTGAAGTCTATGCTCCTCACGGGTTTTTAATCATTTTAATACTTTGCTCACAAGCTGCATACATGTACATGTACGATCTCTTGTCACTTTTGAATATTTACCAAGACAGCTGCATTATTTTGTGGCTGGAGTATACTGAATGGTCATTCATCACACGTACCGTCTACAGGTCCATGTACATGGAGACTATTTCACACATTGTCGACATGTATATTCCATAACATTATGTGCATGAATGTACTTGTACACAGAATTTAAACATGACCAATCATACATGTACGAGTACAACCAATTTACTTTTCATGATTAATTTTAAAATATCTTCTTAATAGCATGCTCACTCAACCAACTAACTGTCAGGCCAACAAACCAACAAATCACTTCTAAAGAACAAACGGAAACAGAAAAAAAGTCTGCATGTTCCTTAACATCTGGTCCACTACACATGTATGTGCACGTACGTTCACATCCTTTGAGCATATAGATTTGGTATTGATGCTCAGTTTGCCTTGAGGGTATCTTTGGCCTGAGGCACAGCGGCCACAAATCAAACTATATTTCCAGGAAAACAACTGGTCAATGACAGCATACACCTCAGGATACGTACCTACATCATCCCAGATCATAATTCATTGCCATACAGCTGATGTTATTGCATGCCGAGACCAGTGGCTCATCAGCTATAGGTAGTGTGCTTACACATTCCATATACGATCATACCATACGTAGCAGAGGCTGAGGAGAAGATTAAATTTCTTGGAAACATTGCACCAGTACACGTACATCATAAATTGGGACAATGACATTGAGAAAACAGGCCCTTCTTTAAAAAAATGTGAAACTCACGAAGAGAAATAAAACAAACAGCAGCAAATTTTTGTTTAAACTGTTTACAATACTGAATTATTTCAAAACTAAAAATGAATCTGTCAATCTACCACTTTAACTAAAGCAACGCTGACAAATTCTTTGTTCAGGTGTGGGGGGGGCTAGATATGTCACTGAGAAACAAATACAAACTAATAATTGTGAAAGATACAGTATAGATGAAAGTCCACTCAACACCAAGACGACTTTCAGATAACAAGCTTCCATCAACCACGAACCTCTTACAGGATTTGTTGCAAATATAGATGACACTTTAACCACTTATCGCAATCCACTTAAGTCTTTCTCGCAGCAAGAAATCCTTCATGAGCTTGCTGTTATCACCGACTCCACCAAGTGCCCCCTCTGAGCAGTGTATCTAATAATAACCTCATCACTCGTCTCAACGAAATACTATCTCAAGCTGAGCAATTTTCCTCGCCAGCGGAGGATGTCAAAGATGGACAGCCCTTGCATCAGTGATTTCACAAATTCTTAAAAGATTATTCACTACTTGAGAAGCAATTACACACCACGAAAAGGTTCAGTAGTTCACTGACACTGTACCAATCCTGTTGAGCCAAGCCACAGACTTTTCGGCTGAACATCATACACTTTGTAATCCTCTACTGATTCTTCCACTAACCAAACTTTAAAGTCTTCTTTCTCTAGTGACAAATCTGAGGTACATGGAGCTGTGAGAGACAGCAAAGGCCCAAAGGCAGAGTAGGGACTAGACCATGTGGCAATGGGCAAAGTGGACGTGCCAAGTCTGTAAAACTGAAAATCCTTCCAAATATCCCAGGAAACGCACTGTGTTTGTTCAGTTTGTTGTAGGTCAGCAGGTCTATATTCAGGTGCCTTGAGTAAATTGTTTCTGGTCAGTGGACATTTTGTAAAACAGTGAAGTAACTGAGTAGATTGGATCAGAGAATTATGCAGCATACTCCAAAGGTTTAGAATTGATCAGCATCCACAAGAACTTGAGGTGTGTCAAATTCATCAGATAAAGTGTTAGCAGTTTCAGCAAATTTTTACAAAAAAGTAAGTCTCCACATAACAAGAGCACATGTACTTTTATGACACACCTGTACTTGTTCAATTGTGTTGAATTAATACATGAACCTACAACTAATAATTCTAATTATCTACTGGTCGCCTTTCCAATCACAATGATCAACTACTGTGCAATGTCTCCAGTATCACAATCAGGAGTGAGCTCTTTTCCTGATTTTTAATCCTGAGATAATCAAGTTACCATGCTAAACAGTATTATCCTGGTTACCAGCATAAATGCATCTCAATCTACTTGCAAACTTGACCAAAATGTCTGATATTGAAAAATGTCACAGGTTTCATTTTGAGTTGGTTTAAGACAAATTACATTCGAAATGCACAGTCAGAAGGAAGTGTGAAAAGGCCTACGCTAGTTATTCATCTTGTTTGCCATGAATTCTGATTGAGTTTGCCCAACAGCAAGTCCCTGTTAGTGTTATCCCTAATCGATAAATTCCCAGTTTCACAGCAGGTGTTCTGCTCTCCCCTACTTGTGTGTGTCCTCAGTGATACTTCCCGATACTTCCTGACCTTTTCTGACACTTACCCACTCTTTGCCTTGTCTTGCCCTTGGCAGATGGTAATCTGTTCAATACATTACACCTTGTGGCCAAGTTTTTTAAGTTCTGCTTTGAAGGCTCTGGAAACAATCAATCAAGCCAAACTTGGATGTTCTCTGACTTATATTCTTTGCACTAACAAAATGTTAAATATTGCCTTTCAAATCTCACGTTCGAAATGTCCTAGAATTTTGAAAATAGTTTGCGGTACCCGCTGCTCCACCTGACTCAGACCGGCCAGGCGACCTCAGCAAGCTCGGTGGACGAGTGGTTAAAACGTCTGCACTAGTAAGCAGGAGGTCGTGGGTTTGAGTCCCACCCATGAAAGCTTGTGAATTTTTCGCAGAAAAAGCACTGAGCATACAGTGTTTATCTATATATGTTGGGTAGGGCAAAACCTGTTATTTAAATTAACATCTCCCCAACGCAAAAAAAAAAAAAAAATCTTGAAATTACATTTACATCTGTCAGAGTGGTACAGAGCCATGCAGTGCAGTGAAATTATTTTTGTTATTCCAACATTGTATCAGATGTACATGAATCCATAAGATGAAAGACAACACAGTCTCGTCCACTGCAGACACTATAAGAGTTCATTGCACAATTCACTCAATCAATCGATTCACCAAGGACAAATTGAGACATGTTCATCTGCACGTACTCATCCAACTCAAGGAACACACATCTGCACATATCTTTAAACTCACCCATTAAAAGAAGACCTTCCTTCAAAATTAAATGCAAAATATATCACTCGTTGCTAATGATGCATATTGTAACGTTATCAGATGTGGAGAATTCCCCAGACAGCGGAATAATGGGTTCCATTCAACTTTAAGGTACGCCTGTACTGAACTTAAATTTGCATTGTCATTTCCAAAGCTAATCGGTAGCACTGCTTGCATTTTGTAGGAGATCATATTGACCTGTAATTTCAAAATGTACATCTATCCATGGTACTCTGCAGCAAATGAGCTGTTTGCGTGCAACAACTCTTCAGGTCATACTCTGGACTTTAGCAGAGGAACTGTGGGAACGTTGGGAGGACTTACCGAGTGGAACAGCTCAGTGACACTCACTACATTGCTAATGAAGTCTCCATTGCTTGGATGATGTCATCAGTCATTTTGGCAGACTGGTGATTGCTAAGGAGACCATCCTTATCACTTGCTAAGTTGCATCAAGGATAATGACTTCGTCTACCGGTTACCACTGAGATGCAGCAAAAACAGCGTAGAGTTCTACGTACAGTACAACAAAAACACATATATACATTCATTACAATTTTCGTTGTCTTGATGATTGTGGTTGAAGCTTAAACAAGGGTGCATGTGGACTATTGTTAAAAATCATCCATGGATGTACAGTGACCTTTTCATTATTTCTACACATGTACAAAATTGTAAACGAGAACGAGAATGAAAAGACAGTTTAAGAAGTGTTTTCATTTGTTTTAGACTTTTCATTTCAACATCATGTGCAAGGAAAATTGATACAGACCAAAATAAAAAAAAAATCAATCTGTGAGTTTGAAAAAACAAAACTTTCTCTTATGCAAGATGCCTCGATGTAATTTTTATGAAGATGTGCAACAAATGTTGAATACATCAATGGATGTGCGTCAGTACAGAAATGTTATCTCCCTTTGCATTGTAGGAAGTCAACCAAATAATTATATTTGCCTCTTCACCCAGAAAACCAAACCTCCGAATACTGATTGGTTAACACCATGGCAACCATAATCATATGACGACACTGCAGATCATATTCATCACCATCTACAATTCTCGAATGGAAATGAGCATCTCCATGAAAATCTCATCCCTCAAAAAATAATGAGTAAAAAACATTTTATTGCAATACCACAGTTCAGTAATCAACTACAAATGAGATGATTTCAAAAATGCCCTGATCATCATTTACTTGAAAATTAAAGAAAAGAAGTAAAACAGTAAAATTTCTTTCCATGTAATTAAAGATATTTAATTAAAGAAATTTAAACTTTTGTTGTTATAAGCAAATGTTATATTGACAGTTCTCCTCTTAATGAGGTTCGACTGTGCAGTGTATTTGCAATCCACTTCCACGAAAAAAATCTTGTATAAAACGCAAGTCATTGTAATCTGAAGGTACATGTGTACATACATGTATTCCAAAGATATCAGATTTCTTTCAGTTCTCTACTTTTTTAAATTTCATTCAAGGTGGTGATACTGGCCCAGAAAGGTTGAGGAGGGGTTACTAAATTTGTGAGTTGGGCTGCCTCACATTGAATAGGCAGGGGAAACTCTTGTACATGCATAATGTGTGACTGTTTCATGAGTTTGTTTCTTTATCGGTTCACACTGTCAGTCAGTTTCTTTTTTCATTTTCCTAAGGGGTTGACCATGAATCCATACAAAAATTATAATACTGTATGCTTAATGAATGAATAAAGAATAATTCACACTTAGTCATACAAAGTCAATTTGCTCACTGGTAATAGAAATCACACTTGGTCTCTTGTTACCATGGCAACGCACCATAAAAGCATCTGTTGTCATGCTTCAATTCTTGAAGGTGTATTTAAACAGCTAGAGTAACTCACCTCTTAGAAATCTCATTAAAATGTGGTGAAAAAACTAAACCACTGGTGAGCTAAAAATACATGGGCTCACAAAGGTCATGTACATGTAAGCAACCTCCCTAGAGACAGAGTATGATGTATATTGTCACATCAATTACAGTGTACAAGTACAGTAAAATTTCTATTAAAATCTTAAATGTATTGTCACATCAATTACAGTGTACAAGTACAGTAAAATTTCTATTAAAATCTTAAATGTGCAGAAATATCCTTCAAAAGAGTGAAAGTCGTGAAAGTCGCTGCACATCTAAGTCTGCAACTACAAACAAACATGACTAAAGGAGCATTTTGGTCAAATGGTTTTGCTGGCATATCTCATGGAAAAAATATATATACATGTATACATGGGAACAATTTGTTATTTTTAAAACAGTAATCAGCTTTAAGGGAAAACCTGTGTGAGATGTACACAAAGCCCTTAGATATGATACAAAAAGAATTCTTCAAAAATCTCAATGACAAACCTACATGTACATGTACAATAGTTGGGTTTTGCAATTTAAAAATAAATTGACAAAATTGACTGTGCATGCATGGATGTGGACATACATGCAAAAGTACAGTGTGATTAATGTTACTATGTATTGTAGTTTTGAACCACTATCTTCTACTGGTACAGTATATGTACGTTTATCGTGTGCAGATCCATTTGGAAAACAGGAAGGGGATTTTGCTGGATGGGATTTAAGTTGATTCAAAACCGCCTTGCTTCTTACATGCACTTCTATTCTTTGACGTTAACTGACATTTCCTTGTATGCTTTTGATGTGCTGTGGGAGGAAAGGTGCTTGCTGACATCTGCTTTCATGAATACATTTCATTTGTCTAATAAAACCTGGGAGTCTACAATCCCTTTACCCAAGATTTCAAAACAAGAGAGACCAGATTCTGCTTTTTATTCACTCAAGAGGAAATATCACATCACACAAAAAACAACATAAGTACAGTGGTAAAGTTTAAGTTTTAATTTGGAACTACGTGATCAGATTTGAAAAACCTCTGAAAAACTTGATATTGTGTACTGTTATATGTTAAGTTAAGAAAGCAGCCATTTAGAAGCATTGGGTGCAAGTTGCAGCAATGAGCAGTATGATCTCGGTTTAGTTCTGGCTGCTAATATTGGGTAATTATGAATTGCATTATGGGACTTTTCACCTGTCATTGTTTCCCACAAAAGAACCCTATTCACTGACAGTCACTGTGTGCATGATCAGAAAAACCATGATCAGATAAATACAAGAACATCACATACAACCTGTCAGCTTGGTTTCTCAGGACAACACCATCAACATCACTAAAAGATCCCGAATATCAACACTGGCCAGTCCCGGATCCAAACAACCATCATTTCAACCTGCAGTCGTAAATTCCCCATCCCAGTATCAGCTCATCAATTGACAAGCCACCGTGCTAAGACACCAATGTTGGTAACCATATGCTTTCTGAGTAAATTTGCTGTGCTGTCGGAGACAATTGAGTCCGCGGGGGAAAGGCAAGGCAATCAACTTCGTGATCTTGAAAGGAGGAACATCATAACAGGGAGGGAGACGATCTGTCCCAGGCAATTATGCGATGTACGTGTAGCAAGGGCTGTACATGTAGCTGTACAATGCAGTTGGAATGTATGGCAAGTGTCATGCAGTAACTCAGTCGTGAGCAACAAATAAAACAGTGTACTACGTGCACTTCATGATCAAATTCAGGACAAAAGAGCTCAACTGTTATTCAGTGCATCTGCATGCCCTTAAGCAAAATGAATAAAGTTGCGCTGTAATGTCCACAATGTCATACGTATATCTGCCATGTACTAGTACCATTAGCAGGTGCATCAATTTCTTCAACTTCACCATTTCCCAGGTTGTATCATGTTATTTGGGTGTGATCCCTGGCTACATGGTGTTTCAGGTTTAATGGCTACTGGCTAGCACCGCCCCCAACAGACATATTGACAAATGGGAAGAGCCACCAACGTAGGGCTGGATAGCTCAGTTGGTAGAGCACTGGTGCGGTGTTCCAGAGGTTGCAGGTTCAAATCCCGCTCCAGTCAGTTTCTTTGTTCGTTTTTAAAATTACTTCAACTAACAGCATTATTTCTTAATTGAGTCATCTGTTTCACATCCAGTGCAAAGAAGTCAGACTGATTGTCTTCCACAGGAAAAAAAGTGATCTGTCAACACAAACTTAGCTTCTAGTCAATCAATTTAAGAACTGGCATGTGTACATTTTTATATGCATTTCATATGCGCGACAAAACTGTTCCAATGGTAGCATGTGTGAGGATATTGAATTTGGCAATGGAATCAATTTAAGAACAGGCATGTGTACATTTTTATATGCATTTCATATGCGCAACAAAACTGTTCCAATGGTAGCATGTGCGAGGATATTGAATTTGGCAATGGAATCACGGAGCTGCAGTGGTAAAATAAAGGGTCCATTCTAAAACAAAAATGGCCTTTAAAAATCCCAACGGTATCAAAGTCAGTGAACAGCAATGTAATAAAATGGGATGAAAATTCAGTTTGCGCAAAGATACATGTACATGTATTTGTCCATAGGTAGAATGAGGCTTACAGCCCATGAGGTCCATGGAAAAACAAAGAGTTGAACACCCCTTCAAAGTTTAATATCCTACACTACACTGCAAAGTGACAGTTTTCAACTTGAAGCTCCATTTTGTGGTGAATGGTCACTGATTACAGGGCTCGGTAGTTATGTTTGTTCTTATCTAAGAGACATTTCCTAATGTTTGACGCCAGCTCATCCCAAATTTGCTTAGAAACATGTAGAAAAAACTGCTATCAGTATTTGATTTCATTGTTGCTCTCAGATTCATTTATTTCCTTTCATGCCAACAAAAATGTACAGGTACCTATTTATCTACTGAAAAATACAAACAACACCGTTACCATGACAACGGCACAGACTGCTTTCTTTTCCTCCTACAAAAATGATGAGATGGATAAGTAAACACTAATGAGCAAACATAATCTTGATCAATTTCACAACAGCAAAAACGAATGGCTTTCAATCTTGACATGTCCAACAGATCTAAAAGTGCTTGTGACCGTCATTTACTTAAGAAACATTTCAATCCAATTTGTCCCCAAGTGTTTTCTGACCAGTAAATAATGTCTGAGACAAGACAGTTGGCTGGATTCTACAGACGTTGAGCAAACATCAAAAAAAGATAACAATCCCAACTGGCCAAGTCAATTTAAACATTGTCTCTTTGAACTGTATCAACTTGAGCAAGAGTGGTGTAGTGAGAGCTTCACTATGGGGGAAAACAGGGAGTAACTATGCAGGGCTGGATTTCACACTGAGGGGGGCTGCAAGTCACAGTGGGCAACCAGGGGGGGCGGGATGTCAAAGTGGGCAACCAGGGGGGGGCTGGATGCCACAGTGGGCAACTAGGGGGGGGCTGCATGTCACAGTGGGCAACCAGGGGGGGCTGG